TGACACCCATGGAACCCCCAAAATAAATTTCAGACAATGAGGGGAGTTTGTGAGATGTGGTCATTTAATGAGATTTTGGTGGTATTTAATATTCTTGGGGCACCTGATAATTCTAAAGGCTGCTGACCCCTGATTTTCAGGGCACAGAAAGCCATAATCTCTGTTTACAAACCATAATGAACTCAAGTTCCAAAATACAGTATGCCTTCAACAATGATTTATAAATCAGGGGCTGGGTGTGCATCCCAGATGATTCTGTGCAATGTGAAAGTCTTACATCTGCATCTCTGCTTTGCAGACTTGTTGAAAAGGCAGAAATGAATAATCCCAAACAACTCCAATTAATTATCTCAATGAAGGGTGGGAAATTACATTAGTCAGAACAGGCTGGGCCTGCAGCTTTGAGGAATTAATGGCACACATACACTTTAGAAGATCCATACTGTAAGTTTCCTGAATTTATTTCCTGCAGGGCTTTAATGTCCTTTGTTGTTGCCCATATGATTCAGCTGTCCAGGAATGCTTCCAGAGAAATCAAATATTGATCAGGCAGTGCTGAAATATTAACTGCCATTTTGTTAGTCATCATTTATGTTACTACTTCTTTCCTTTCTGTGTAATTCTTAGAGACAGGAAAGAATTAAAAAAAATGGACTCATCAACAACAGATTTCTTTAAAAAAAATGCTGTCACTCCAATAAACTTCTACGCTGCAGAAAGGTTTTAATTAAGGCAACCTGTCAGCCAATTAGATTAATTTGCTGAGGGAAATGACGCCACATTGCTGGGAAAACAACTCCGCAAAAACCTTTAGAGTCACCGCTGCTATCTCCAAGGACAGAAGAAAATAATGAGGAAGTCATGTAATTGCTGGAATCCAGATGCCAGTAAAAGGTCTGATGCCAATTTTTTTACCAGCCAGTTCACCAACAAGCTCAAACAGCTCAAAAGTCCTGTTGGTTCAATAGGAAAGAGTTCACTGCCTTATTACTACTTTACGAATATTTGTGTTTGCACTGAACAACTCAGGAAGATTGAAGACCACTTTCAAGAAATAGGTACCCCGTTTTTTTTTCAGGCTAAAAAAAAAAAGAGTCTTTGATCATTTGGAGATAAGATAGCCATGCAGGATCCTGTACCTCTACTTCCCAGTATAACTCAGCCTTGGGGAAGAAGAAGAAATGGAGGTAACAACGATTGTCGTATCTCCCATCTTGACTATGATCAAGGAACGATAGTTCCATCAAGACTTATTGTAGGATTGCTTTGCCAATGATAGCAGCTTGATTCTGGAGGAGCGAAGGCCATGTATTTGCTCTTAATTCACTACTCAGACTGGGGATAAGCGTCTGGGGCCCATGGGCAATTGGACTGGAAGAATCATGCCTTCTAAGAGTAGAGGTCTGATTTTGCCACAGTTACGGCTCTGGATTCAGACAAGCACATTTTGTGTAAAAAAACGTTTGGCTCAAGATCTAATCTTGCAAGCTAAATCTAACTTCAGCACTCCTTTTTAAGAGTGGATAAATGGAAAAGGCCAGTTTGGTGTAGTGGTTAAGGCATCAGCTAGAAACCAGGAGATTGTGAATTCTAGTGTCGCCTTAGTGCAGAGAAGAGCAAGAAAAAAATGATTAGACGGCCGGAAGCTAAAAGGTTGCATGAATTGGGTATGTCTAGTTTAATGAAGAAAAGGATGAGGGGGGGACATGATAGCAGTCTTCCAATATCTCAGGGGCTGCCCCAAAGAAGAGGGAGTCAAGCTATTCTCCAAAGCGCCTGAAGGCAGGACAAGAAGCAACAGATGGAAACTAACCAAGGACAGAACCAACCTAGAACTAAGGAGAAACTTCCTGACAGTGACGACAATTAACCAGTGGAACAACCTTCCTCCAGAAGCAGTGAGCTCCAACACTGGAGGTTTTTAAGAAGAGATTGGACAAACCATCTGTCTGAAATGGTATAGGGTTTCCTGTCTGAGCAGGGGATTGGATTAGAAGACCTCCAAGGTCCCTTCCAACTCTTATTCTTAAGCATGAAAGCCAGCTGGGGCACTTTGGATCAATCCCCAGGAGACAGTGAGTTCTAGTCCCACCTTAGGCTTCATAGCCAGCTGGATGAGCATGAGTCAGTCACTCTGTCTCAGCCCTGGGAAGCTGGCAAGAGCAAACCTCTTTGGAAACCTTGCCAAGAAAACTGCAGGGTCTGTCCAGCAATCCCAAAAAAAGAAAAAAAGAAGAAGAAGAAAAGCAGAGTTGATGGCACACACAAATCAAACAAATAGAAAAAGAGGGAGGCAGAGGCCCCCATGGAAAAACATAAGAAATCGGCAAGAGGGAAGGGAAATGACAGCATTTAGACCATATACCTGCAAATAATGGTTCTCTGAGCCAAAAGGGAAAAAAAGAAACTTTTTGGGAGGCTTCATTTCACTAAGATTAATAGATGAAAAATGTGGAGCTGATTCAGGGAGAGAAAGAATTTGCAAGTTAGGATATTGTAGATACAGACCCATAACTTTCAGACCAATTTCCCCGCTTCCGTGGAAACCTATGCATTTCAGTGCTTATACACACATGTCCAAATCTGGAGTAATGGAAGGTTTTCGGGTTTCTCACAACACAGCTGAACACAACGGGTGCCTGACGCAACTCAACAGCATGTCCTACTTTCCCCCCCCCCTATTTTGCCCAAGGAATGAGGATTAGGAAGGAATAAACATTATTATTATTCATAATAATAATAATAATAATAATTTTCAAAAGCCAAGCTGCATCGTAGACGTGAAGAAGAAAGCAGGAGAGACGTTTCCACGGTTTATTTTTAAAAGGAAGGGTTTCATTTCAGTGGCCTATGAAATAGTGTGAGAGATTTTAAAAATAAATAAAGTGGCCTATGAAATAGTGTGAGAGATTTTAAAAATAAATAAGGGGAAACGGCTGAGAGGGAATGGCTAAAACTTTACAACATATACATTTTTAACTCCACCTTTCAAGCCCAGCCCAGCCCCTCCATCCATCTTCTGCTCTCCACTAGAGGAGTCTAGTCAGATTGCAAACATCTTGGAAATGTAGCATTTCTATTGTGTGTGTGTGTGTGTGTGTGTTTTCATTTTTCTTAAAAATAAACTTTCAAGGCGAGACCGGATATTACTCAGGATGGGAACATAGCATACATTTCAAAGCAAGCCCATCATCCTCACCCACCCACCCCTCCGGGCCTCTGGGAACTACCTTGTGTAGCGTTTTGCAGAATTATGCAGAAAGCTGCCCCTTTGTGGAGGCCTGGCTGATTTAAGTCTCAAAGACAGCGTAGAAAAGGATAAAGGATACTTGGTAAAGGACAGTGGAGAACCTTAATGATCACCGTACAACAGAGGCTGGGGATTTTCCAAGTTTTTTTAAAAAAAAATGGGCTGAGAAATTCAATTAACCTGAAGAGTACACGAGGATTTATTGGCCACTGGTTGGACTTATTAGCCACAGTCGAATATCCACAGCGGAGACGTAATAACCGAGCAAAGTTGTGCAATGTTTTAACTTTCTCACACACGGGTCTAATGCACGAGGCCCTTTACGTCAATCACGTTTTAGCTCAGCATCTTCTTTGCTTTCTTTGGGGAGTCCTCCACGTATCACCACAACGGAGCCCAAACTTTCTGTTGTTAAGCAAGACAGCAGTTGAGTAAGTTTTGCTCCGCTTTTCATGCCCCACGGGAACCCCTGCAGTGGTTAAAGTGAGTAACAAGCCTGTTAAGAGAATCCAGCTTCCCCCACTGACCTTCCTTGTCCGAAAATCATAAAAGGAGATCACCTGATTCCGGGACACTGCAACGGTCGTAAATGCGAACCAATTGCCAAGTGTCCGAATTTTGATCACGTGGCTGTATAATAATGATAAAGTTGGAAGGGACCTTGGAGGTCATCTAGTCCAACCCCCCCTGCTCAGGCAGGAAACCCTACACCATTTCGGACAAATGGCTGTCCAGTCTCTTCTTAAAAACTTCCAGTGTTGGAGCATTCACCGCTTCTGGAGGCAGGTTGTTCCACTGGTTAATTGTTCTAACTGTCAGGAAGTTTCTCCTTAGTTCTAGGTTGCTTCTCTCCTTGGTTAGTTTCCATCTGTTGCTTCTTGTCCTGCCTTCAGGTGCGTTGGAGAATAGCTTGACTCCCTCTTCTTTGGGGCAACCCCTGAGATATTGGAACACTGTTATCATGTCCCCCCTTGTCCTTCTCTTCATTAAACTAGACATTCCCAATTCCAGCAGCCTTTCCTTATATGCTTTAGCCTCCAGTCCCCTAATCATCTTTGTTGCTCTTCTCTGTACTCTTTCTAGAGTCTCAGCCTCTTTTTTACATCATGATGACCAAAACTGGATGCAGTATTCCAAGTCTGGCCTTACCAAGGCATTGATCATGAAGGGTGAAAACACGTCGCTTTTTTCAGTGCGGTTGTAATTTTGAACGGTCACGAAACAAATGGTTGTAAGTGGAGGACGGCCCGTATTAGCAATTGCCACAACGCTGTTATCTTTACGAGCAGTCTGGTGGCCTTCCACATTTTTTTCTCTGTGCAAAGGTCAGAGAAAAAGGAAGCCTCTTGCAAAAAACAAAAAAAGGGGATGTGCCTATTGAGTCCACCATGCAGGGATGCCCTTATTTTGAACTACTAAGCCAGCAACTAAGGTAGCCCAGAACATCTCCTTCGACCTTGGATAAAAACTCAGACTTAGTTGTAGATAGTCCTTGAACTTACCACAGAAATGGAGATCAGATTTTGTGTTGCTAAGTGATACAGTCGTAAAGCAAGGATAGGCAAGAGGGGTCTATGACAATTCGCCACAGGCAACTCGCTGCGGCCCACTTGCCACACGTCTGTGGTCTACTTGCCACGGTCAACTCACTGCAGGGAAAGAGTTAGACCGATATCAAAGAAATGGTGGAACAGAATCGTCGAAGAAAGGATGCAAAAGGAGGGGCAGAATGAAATACGGATGGCGAAAATTAAAACATTTTTTAAAATTTATTTTAAATAAATAGAATTGTTAAATTGTCCCACGGCGAGTTGCCCGTGGGGAGTTGTCCCATTCCATGTGCAGGAGGTGCCGGTCAGGAAGTGAATTGCAAAGGCTGCTTGTAACCATTATTCAGTGCCACAGTAATTCAAAGGTTTGCTGAACAAGCGGTTGTAAGTTGAGGACTTTTTCTAATATAAAACCAATATAGCCCTCAATTCCTCCCCCCCCCCCGTGTGCAATAAAAGGTCATATTCGTTGCCCGCCCTTTTTTGCAATCTGAGAAGAAAATGCACAACGAGTTAGGAACCACGAAAAACCGTTAACGCGTCTGGAAGTTGGCTTTGGCGTTTATAGTCTTTATAAATTTTATAGAAAATATTCAGCATCTAACAAAATAAATAAAACATATTTTAATCAGAGGTGCCTAACGATCAGCTTCAGAAAATCTACAGGGGCAAGGGGGAGGGAGGCGTCCATTGGTCTGCTTCCATTTGCGACTAAATTGGAAGAGAACTCTCTCGCAGTAGTGCCCAAGACCCAGTGGCCGCCCTTTCAGCGACGTGAAAAAATACAGCTAAGTCCATTTGAGAAGATCAAAAAAAAAAAGGAGAGCTCCTTCAGGAAGAGTTCGTATTGTCAGTGTCAGATTGTTCCATGTACCTGTTTCAGTTTATTTTATTGTTTTAGTGCTCGTGATAAAGATTCTCATAATGTTTCTGAGTCCACACGGTGAGGGGCGTTTTTTTTTTCCCTCCTTCACTTGCTCTTCTGAAGAACCGTACGCTAAGATCTCCTAAGAAGAGGGTCTCTCCAAACATCACTTCCAAGCATGCTAATAATGCAAGCGATTAGGCTCAGTTCTCTCGGATGCGGGCATCTATCCAGTGTAATTCAGCTTGAAAAGTAGAGTGATCTCCTCCATTGCTAGATGGTGGGTGGAGAAGGGGGTCCTTCTGACCTTGAGGCTCTTCAGGTCGTCCAACCTCCCCACGGCAGGGAACAAAAAGCTCCCGGTGTCATACCGAAGAGACCAAACAAATCTCAAAGGCAAGTTTGAAGGAACCGGCTTCCTGAGGGACGATACACGTGTCCGACGGTCTGATAGCTACTCAGGGGGCTCCCGAAGAGTCCTCAGCTTCTTCTCATCCAGCCCCTTCCAATACTTGAAGTTGTTGTCTAGGTGCTGCATCAGATTTGGTAGATCTGCAAAAGCTAAAAAAAAAAAAGACAACGGTGAAGTCATTGTCACCTCTGGTCATGGGTCCAAAGATTGAGAATGTTGGGGGCTTATTTTCTTAATTGTGGGGGAGGGGACTATGGACAATCTACAGCTTCAGAGATGCAAGCTGTCCCTCCTTTTTGGTACCCCACCCCCCAGGGCTCTTCTTGATCATAAGGGCTGAAAACAGATGGGTGCCTATATTTTGTGATTTTGAGCTCGGAAGTAGCGATAGCAATAGCAATAAGATTTAGACTAATATACAGTCCTATATATAGATCCTGAAGTTGAAACTCAAGTACTTTGGCCACCTAATGAGAAGGAAGGACTCCCTGGAGAAGAGCCTGATGCTGGGAAAGATGGAGGGCAAGAGAAGAAGGGGACGACAGAGAAGGAGGTGGCTGGATGGAGTCACTGAAGCAGGAGGCGTGAGCTTAGATGGACTCCAGAAGATGGTCGAGGACAGGAAGGCCTGGAGGAACATTGTCCATGGGTCGGACACGACTTCACAACTAAAACAATAGTCCCATAGCGCTTTACAGCACTCTCTGGCTGGTTTATTTATATTTATTATAAATAATAATAAATATTTATTATGTGCATCTTGCCCCCAACAATCTGAAACCTCATTTTACCGCACTGGGAAGCATGGAAGGCTGAGCCAACTTTAAGCCTTGCTAGGATCGAATTTCAGGCTGTGGGCAGAGTTTTACCTGCATGACTGCCCTTTAATCATTATACCACAAGGGCTTGCCGTCTAGTAGAAACCATAAAATAGTCACGCTTTCTTAAAACAACAAACATCATTCCATACATTCACCTCAAACTCAATCCTATCCAAATGTGTATCCTTCCCCTTCTCTTAGCTCCTGGTCATTACAATATTGAAACCAGAGTGAAGATCATTTAGATCTGATATCCCTGTTTTTATATTTCCCACCTGAAAATAGCAGAAAGCAACCAGCCAATTTTTAGTAGTATGTCACCAAGAGTGATAGATAAGATAATCTTTATTGTCATTTTTTACTATCGGCACATTGGCACACCTTAAAAATAAAATTTTTATTGCTGGCTCTCAAAAGGGTACACATACACAGCACGCATTTAAATGTGCTACATACAACATAGGTATAACCCTATATCCTTACATATAAATATTAATCACTGTCCATCTTGAACACATAGCAGAAAAAGGAAGCTTTAGAGGTTAATACTGTATGGAACAAAACTGTGACTGAATTCAGAAGGAATTCAGAATAAGTCACACACACACAAACACACACACACACACCCAAAAAAAACTTATCCTGGACCACAGGTTGCCCACTCTTGTCCTTGAGCAACTCAATAAGGACCATAAATTTCCCTCCTCCTCATAATCCTTCTGCAATGTAATCAGTATTCAAGAATACTCAGGGGCTGCCACAAAGAAGAGGGAGTCAAGCTATTCTCCAAAGCGCCTGAAGGCAGGATAAGAAGCAACGGATGGAAGCTCATCAAGGAGAGAAGCAACCTAGAACTAAGGAGAAATTTCCTGACAGCGAGAACAATTAATCAGTGGAACAACCTGTCTCCAGAAGCAGTAAATGCTCCAACACTGGAAGTTTTTAAGAAGAGACTGGACAGCCACTTGTCCGAAATGGTGTAGGGTTTCCTGCCTGAGCAGGGGGTTGGACTCGATGACCTCTAAGGTCCATTCCAACTTTATTATTATTATTATAAGCAAAAGATAGACAGTCCCTACTGGTAGGTCATGAAAAGATGTTTTTTCTCTTTCTTCTGCATCAGAGAGAAGAAAAGGCTTACCATCCCAAGCGTCAAACATGTCCGTGATGAAATAATCAATGAACGACATTTGAGATTTAGGGATACTGCAAGTATTCCTGTCAAAAACCGGCATCACAACAGGTAAACCTTGCCTCTTCTCGTCATCGGTCTAAAAAAAAAAAAAAAAAAAAACAACCAATGCACACAATTATTTGGTTTATTACTACTAACAGTATCTCCTCTAGTCCCATTAGTGTTGTGTAGCTGAAACCGACGGGGAAGGAGCAAACATCCAGTTGTGTATTTGAGAAATACGAAAACATGGCAAGAAACTGAAGTGTTGTTATTTGATTGAGGAGCAGGGACTCCAGGGCCACCAAAGAGGTTCAGGGGCCAATGGGAAAAGGTTCACCTTCCCCCCCACTTTGTTATTCATCTCCCGGGAAAAATGAAGACTGACATCCAGCGGGAATTTCTTCAGCTTTCTATCTTAACTCACCTGTGCAAAATATTCCTCCGAGATGCGACCTGCCCACTCAATGCACTGTTCCAACGGACGGCAGGGGTTGGAAACATCAGCACACTTAATTAGCATCCTTTTGATCAGAATTCGATTCTCAGGAGACGTCAGGACATTTTTGATGGGATCCCCATCGCCATTGGAACTCTTAGGAAAACAAAATTTACAAATATTATCGTCAGCTATGCTTCACTGTCATCCATCTCTGTCTCTCTCTCTCTCTTCCTCTCCCTGTCTCCCCCCCCTCTGTGTGTGTGTGTGTGTGTGTGTGTGTGTGTGTGTGTGTGTGTGTGTGTGTGTCTACCAACCCTCTCTCTCCACAGATTCAGAATAGCTTTTGTCCGACTTCACCTGGAAATCAAGGTTCAGTTTTTGGCACTGCAAGATGAAGACTAGGAACTGGCAAAATGGCAGCCTTAGATACTAAAGTGATAGTAACAGTTCCAGAATAACAGTTCTAGAATCATAGGAATATGAAGCTGGAAGGGGCACTATAAAAGCCAACCTTCTGCTCACTGTCAAAATTCAAATTATAGCGTCCTTGATTGAACTCTTATCTTTTGCCTGAACACATCCAGTAAAGGGAACTCAGCCATCAGTGGTTCTATGATTGAATGGAAATCTTGTCATTGAACTTCATTATTCTACTCTGGAACTACAGAGAACAAACTTTGATGCTTTTCTATACTTCAAAAGTGTCTCCCTAACTCTTCTTTCTCAAGGTTAATCAACATATCCCGTACCCCCAACATTTTGTAGGGATTAGATTTCAGTTCCTTAATTATCCTTGTAGTTTTTCCCTGAATCTGGTTCAATCTATTCTCATCTTTCTTAAAGTGTGATGTCTAAAGTCATATTGAGATAGAATTTATTCAAAGCAGAATCAAGCAGAATACTTCTGTAACCTGGAATATGATTTTGTTTTTATAGCTTTCTTTGTGTTTACTGTATCCGGTACAGCGGGCTGGGTAAGCACGTAGATTAATTTTTGATTTGCTTAAACAATTCAGATCGGCGCACATTGTTATTTACTCCAATTTACCTTTCCATTTCTGTAGAGAATCTCTGGAGAAATGTGTGAATTTTAAAGGAGGCTCATGAATGAGGAAGGTTGCTACACACACACACTACAAAGGGGGTCACAGAATCTGGACATCTCAGTCCCCGTCCTACGCTCAGCCTCTTCATGAGGTCATTTATATATATTTTTTCAAACGGTGTCTTCAAGAGCTTTCCAACATTCATCCAAAAGCTGCTGGGATAACTAAAGGAATTGGAGCTTCAGTTCCTGTCTTAAAATACTTGAGCCTGATCCAAATTTTTGCTGAATAAATGGAAACAGTTCATGGAACTCTCAAAGAACCTCTTTGTGAAGTGTGCAGAAATGCTTCTGCAATGGCTGCTAAAAGCGCTACCAACGCAGAGGAAGCCTTCAATCCACCAAGCAAAAGTAAACAGCACAGTTTAAAAAAAAAGCGAAAAGGCTAAGAGGACCCTGAATTTTCAGCACGTCTTTTTCTCCCAGAACTTCAGAAAAGTCGACGATTTCTTTCACGGAGATGAACGCTCAAAGCATCACAGCATCCATTGGAAAACGGCAAGTTAATTCTTTGGGAAAGGGTGGATCCCTGGTCTTAAAAATCCCAAATTTAGAAATTTCAGGAATTCCAAATTTTGAAAAGATTTCCTCCTCAGCTGTTTGCAGGAATGAAGTGGCAAACAAACCAAAACCCACATCTCCACATAGAAGTAGTAAAAGACATAACAATTTCAAATTGGAAAAAAATGAGGAAAGGCTTGCTTTGCCCTACACTGAAAGAATACCTGTTCAAATGCCCCCCCCCTTTTAAAAAAACAACAACAAAAGACAAACGGTTCTTCTGAGATGGAACAGACTCACAATTAAGACCGTTTGCAAATTGCCACTTGTAGTATTCTTTGCTGTGCAGCCCTACTGATGCTTTACTCACTGAGATAGCTTAGGTGCATCATTCAGATCAGGCTTACCACCACTGAGATACCTAGTTTATTATCTTCCCAGTGAAAAGCAAAAAAATATTTTGTTTCAGGCATTGAAAGAAAACAGATCTGTTCATGATGAACGTGCTATTCAGAAACCTCTTCTAAAGTACTCTGCCAGCCACTTTTACAGTTTTATTATTGTGCGCTTACTTTTTATTGTTTTATTAAGGCATTCAAATTTGTGTGACCTTGTGTTTTTAGTGTTCTAAGTTACCTTGAAAAAAATTACATGCACATCTACCTAACATAATGAAAATAAGCAAAGCGTGGCTTAATATGTTATGGAACATGTTCCTCAGAGAACTAGAAGAAATACTGACAGCTTGTTTCAAGAGTCCCTACTCTATTTATTTGTTTACTAGATTTAGAAACTGGATGAGAGATTGCAGTTATCCCAAGGAGAGCCAATAAATGTTCTGATTGAAGAAGAATTTGAACTTGGATTTTTCTACTGAGAAAGAGAAATTATCTCCCTTTTGCAAAAGGAGCAAAACTTTACACAGTTCATTCCTGGGTTCTTAATCTGTCTTTGTTCAACCTGAAGTAAGTATACATTTCTAAATGTATAAGAGCCAGCTGCATTTTTGCTTTCAGATCTCCTTCTTGCTAGGACTGCTTACCCCATTGTCTTCAACGGCAGCCAAGGGCTTGTTTATACTGTTGACAAATTTGTTGACGTGCTCAAAATGTTTGGTCATTTCCGTGGCCAAGACCATGTCAATAATGGCTTGTCGCAGTGTTCGGTATTCATTTCTAAAGAAAGAAGAAGATGGGAAAAATAGAAGCAGGGTTTTAATATTTAATGGTAGGGTTTCAGGCAACATTGCAAAGAAAAACCAAGTTGATATTTAAGCCAGGGATGGATCTGCTGTCGGTTTCTACAATGTGTGGCCCCTAAAACTTATCCAAAAGGCGTTCCTGAATTGTAATGCTGAATGCAGTGTTTCTCAACCTTGACAACTTTTAAGATGAATGGACTTCCACTCCCAGAATTCCCCAGCCAGCTGAGGAAAGACTTGGAATTATGGGAGCTGCAGTCCAAAAGTCTAGAAGCCAGTTGGGGAAAGTTTGAACCACGTCATTAATTGGACTCCATAGTTTTGCATACAGACTGACTTCCGGACAGATTACTTCTCCTTGTTTCTTCCTATAGATTCGACCACGCTGATCTAGCTCTGGGTTGTGTTGCCTCCTGTCTCACTCCCTCTCTGAGGAATGTGCTCCCTTGCTCCTGGGAAACTGCTCCTTCAGTGTAGTCACCACACATCTCCCCCTTCACGGGCACAATCCTTTCACAGATCTCCAATTAAAACATTTCCCTGCCTTAATTCTTGGAAAGAAGACAATTCAACAGAATATCAAGATTGGAAGGACCTTGGAGGTCATCTAGTCCAACCCCCTGCTCAAGCAGGAAACCCTATACTATTTCACACAAATGGTTGTCCAATCTTTTCTTAAAAACTTCCAGCGTTGGAGCATTCACAACTTCTGGAGGCAAGTCGTTCCACTGGTTAATTGTTCTCACTATCAGTGCTAGGTTGATTCTCTTCTTGATTAGTTTCCATCTGTTGCTTCTTGTCCTGCCTTCAGGTGCTTTAGAGAATAGGTTGACCCTCCTCTTCTTTGTGGCAACCCCCTTAGATATTGGAACACTGCTATCATGTCACCCCTAGTCCTTATTTTCATTAAACTAGATCAGTGATGGCGAACCTTTCAAAGACCGAGTGCCCAAACTGCAACCCAAAACTCACTTATGCATCGTCGGGTGCTGGGTGGGCATGGCCCATTGGGTGGGTGTGGCCCATTGGGTGGGCATGGCTGCGGTGGTAACAGCAGACTGGGTGGGATTAAAAAGTTCAATCAATCAATTCCAACTTTGTGAGATCTTTTTTTTCCTTGCGAGAAGTTGAAATTGATTGATTGATTGAACCTTTTTTTTTCTTTTGCACATGGCGGCGGAGGCCTAAAGCAAAAAGGTTTTATAAAACCCAGCTGAAGGCCTAGGACTGGGCCAATGGCGTGCGTGCCCACACAGAGGGCTCTGAGTGCCACCAGTGGCATGCATGCCATAGGTTTGCCACCACGGAACTAGATTGTCCGATATCCCTCTGCAGTATTTCTTTTTACATTGAAATTTTTTAAAAAAGATCCATCCTTTGCATTATTCTAACTACATGTATAAAATAACCCACATTCATTACATCTTTCCCCCCGAAATACTCATCCCCCCCCTCCACTGCTACTCCTCCATATTATATCATCATTCAGTCAAAGCAAATCCTTTTGAAAACTACACCGGCAGTCCAGTTTTAAAGAATCGCGGTATTTTGGAAACCTACCTCTCCATGTTTTTAAAAATGTTGCATTTATCATCCCGGGTGGTGATTTGGAAGGCCAGGGCTGCATGGTGGCTTTCCAACACAGCCGTGTCGTTGTACAAAATAGCCAGTTCGCTTCCTGCATTACACAGGAAAGAATTGGTTCGCCCAGGGTGATCCACATCGTGGACAGTGGCAGCTATCAACGCAGCAACTTCGTCAATGGGATCCAAGGTTTCCTGAGAAGAATAAGAGGGAGAGGCTGGGAGAGGCTCAGGAAGAGAGAGACTCAGCCCAATGTTGCAAAGATGGATGCTGTAACAGTTGTAGTTCGAGAATCTCCTCTCGGGAAATTTCAAGGCGCCTGGGGTGGTGTCATCAGAATCACACCAAAAGCGGTTAGATGGTTGGCTTCCTTAGATATTAATCTACAGGTAGTCCTTGACTTAATGGCCACAACTGAGCCCTAAGTTTCTGTTGCTAAATGAGATAGTTGTTAAGTGAGTTTTGTCCTGTTTTACGAGCAGTTGTTAAGTTAATAACACAGTTGTTAAGTAAACCTGGCTTTATAATAATCATAACAACAAAGTTGGAAGGGACCATGGAGGTCATCTAGTCCAACCCCCTGCTCAGGCAGGAAACCCTATACCATTTCAGACAAATGGCTGTCCAGTCTCTTCTTAAAAACTTCCAGTGTTGGAGGGGGACCTACATGACCCCAAGACACCGTCATAAATAGCACTTGGATTTTGATCACATGACAATGCAGATGCGGCAATGGACATAAGTGTGAAAAATGATCACACCAGTGCTGTTGTCATTTCAAACAGACACTAACTGAAAGGCTGTAAGTCAAGGGCTACCTGTATAACATGGAACCTATTGCAATTCTATGGCATCATAAATAAGGCGATTTTATCATGGCTTTACCCTAATTTCTTCTCCTCTACTGTATTGTCCACACATTTTACATATATGGATAGGCTGGTAATGTTATATATATATGTATTTGTACACATAATGTCTTTTATTAGTGTTATATATCAGTGATCGCATGATCTCTGTAGATGTCATACACTAAACAAAACAAACAAACAAACAAACAAATAAATAAATCCCTCACATGGATGAGGTTCATGGACAAGATGCCGGAATGCCAAAGGATCCAGAAGTGTAAACAATCTTAAAGACGGCGGTGGGGAACAACTTAGTAATAGGGAGGAAAACATTCTAAAATAGCTCAATGAGAAATCAGCAGCAGCCATAAAATGCTATCTGGCAGATGGAAAATTGGAGGGTTGGGAAAAGGAGCAGAGAACGAGATGGAGCACCCTGGAAGAAGACACGGTACGTTGAACTTTGAGATTCCATCCATCGCTGCTTCCCATAAGTTATACTTGCGGATGGTTCGTTCCTGATGCAAGGAACAAATTCAGTGGAAGCTTCCTTTTTTTAAAAAAAAAAACAAAACTGTGTTTCTTAGGCCACCCGAGCAGTTTCCTTGGAACATGATGCTTATACAAACCTCAGATCTTGCTTGAATATATACACACAGAGCTGATTAATGATCTCTTGGAACAGTGATAGCCCAAGCGCTCTATACATACTTTCTTTGGGGTTCTCTGGGCTTAGGAAGAGTTGATATTACAGATCCAAGATGATCTGAAGCTTACTAGCAGAGAATCCGCCTTCTGCCTGCAGTTAAAATCCCAAATATCTGCAGATAGACGCAACTGTTTGCAAATAATGGGAAACAGCTTTGCAAGCGACTTTGGGTTTTCTTATTCAGGTAGGCAACCCAAGGCCAGAGGAGGCAATAATCAGCTAAGGTTGTTTCCAAGTTTCTTTTCCTAAGCTACCAGAATTACAGAATAACAGTTGGAAGAGACCTTGGAAGTCTTTTAATCCAACCCCCTGCTCAGGCAGGAGATCCTATCATAGGGGTAGGCAACCTTGGCTCTTTTATGACTCGTGGACTTCAACTCCCAGAATTCCTGAGCCAGCCATGCTGAGGAGAAAGGGAGAGGTTTCCATGCTGAGTCATGCTGGCTCAGAGTTTCTGAGAGTTGAAGTCCACGAGTCATAAAAGAGCCAAGGTTGCCTACCCCTGCCCTATACCATTTCAGACAAATGGCTGTCCAATCTCTTCTTAAAAACTTCCAGTGTTGGAGCATTCACTGCTTCTGGAGGCAGGTGGTTCCACTGGTTAATTGTTCTCACTGTCAGGACATTTCTCCTTAGTTCTAGGTTGGTTCTCTCCTTGATGAGTTTCCATCCGTTGCTTCTTGTCCTGCCTTCTTTTCCTGCCTGCTCTGGAGAATAGCTTGACTCCCTCTTCTTTGGGGCAGCCCCTTAAGACTTATTTTTGCTCTTTCCCAGACTTACCTTGACTCTTTCTTTAGAAAGGAAGTAGGCCGTGGCGTGCAGCACGTCCGCCGAGTGGGTTGAATTGTGGTAAGAGTTGGATACATGGTAATTGGCTTCTATGATTTGCAACCAAGACCTCAGAGTAGACTCAGAGCAACCGAGAAACTCACAGATCCGAAAGCGGGCAAAGAGTTTGAGGCCAAGATAAACTAAAGGCCTGGAAGGAGGAAAAAAAGGGTACTTCAATTTCCCCTATTCTTACTGCACCAAAAGCAAAATAAACAGCAAGAGAAATACGAGCCTTTGCCCGGGAGATAAATCTCTCCCAGAGTGCTGCTATTCCTGTGTCTTTCTTTGCTTCTCCTACAAACCTTTTATGAGTTGCAGCCTCCAATTCAAAAATATTAAAATCCCAATCTTCTTCATTTTCCATTGCTTGAGCTATGCTGGGCGGGATGTCATTCAGGGAGATGGGTGAGATCAAACTGCCTGGTACTTGATGGGTTTCTAAAAAAAAAACAAAGACATAGGGACAAAAGTATTACAGGCACACCTGGAACACGAATGAGAAAACAGAGCCAGGAAAGAAGAATAAGAATAAGAATAAGAATAAGAATAAGAATAAGAATAAGAATAAGAATAAGAATAAGAATAGGAAGGAAGGAAGGAAGGAAGGAAGGAAGGAAGGAAGGAAGGAAGGAAGGAAGGAAGGAAGGAGGGAAGGAAGGAAGGAAGGAACCAACCCAACCAACCAACCAACCAACCAACCTTTGGACATAATAAGATTAACCCATCACCACCAGAATACCAGAAAGGCACACTCAGACTCAAAGTTCATGCCACAGGAAGCAACTCCAAACAAAAGGCTCCAGAGGGTATAAAAACCCACTCCCTACATGTGCTTGCTCTCTTTTCTTCCAGAGCCATCTTCCTGTCTGGCTCTCCTCTTCAATAATCTGCAACCTTCTTTCTAAAGCAGTCGCCATGTTGTTTAACCCCATGCTTGGACTGAACCATGATAAAGACTTTTCTTCCAACACTTATAAACACTGAAAAACTGGAGACCACTTTCTAGACCAAACGGCTTTGCTTTAGCCTCAAGAACTAATCTCAATATTCTCTTTTTCCTCCTCCTTCTGTTTTGTCTATTAGGTCTGCAAGCTGGCCTGCTATCTTCAAAATATTGACGAAACTTTAAGCCTCTTAGCAAACAAGATACCTTTCCAAAACTATATGCCTCTTTAAGATGGCATATTTAGCTTGACTAACAAGGGTCTGGTGATACAGCAGTTATTACACAGCCCTGCACATTGCTTATTTGTTTGTCTCTCTTCAAGATAACTTTTTGGCTGTGCTATACCCAAAATGAAATTGCGGAAGATCACACCTTTCAAGTATGGTAAAGAGCAGTACTTACGCTTTGCAGATAATATGTATTCGTTCCCCGACAATCTTCGTAGTCCATCCTATTGAATAAAGTTGAAAAAGAATGTAGAATGAAATAAAGACCCTTCTTAAATGTACTCTTTGGGGTTATGTAATGGCACAAGGGGAATATAAATCAGAAAGTGTTGTTTGAACCCTCTATCCATCTCCATCTAGTCTAGAAGCAAGAAGCAGACTCTCAATTGGTTGGAGCAAAGCAAATTCTATTATCGCTGATCCTAAAAGAAGTATGCTAATTATCAGGGTTTTTTTCCCTTTTAAAAACCCTGGAATTCCTTTGCATTGGAGTGGACTTGGGGCAACTGGATGGAGCTGAGCGTTTACTGACCAGATGCCCTTCCTAATGCCTATGCAGTGTTCTTAGCAATTAGTCACTGCGCCCAGAGAGAGAATATCTGCTGCTACCTGGAATTCAAACTCATAGCCTCCTGATGGTGAAGTGGGAGCTCCACCTCTAGGCCACCATACCACTCCTGTGCTAATTATCACTTAATTGGCCTTCAAAATGGCATGTGGAAGGCCCAGTAAAGTAGGTGGCTATAACATCTAGGGCAACGTTCACCATCTGATACCCATCAAATGTAGAGAAATTCAACTTCCACTGTCCTTATCCATGAGGAACTTGGATGAGGAATTCTGGAGCTTTCTAGGGAGCAGAATTCCATTTATTAAGTTCCTTGGCTGAACAAACCTGCATGGTCCAATTTTATTTATTTAAAAGAAGAGAGGCAAAATCAGGAGTGGTTCCGAGCAAGAGATTGCCTTTTTAATACTCCAGATTGGAAACCAATAAGATTTTTCCTTTGTTTCGACTGCTTACTGTATTTTATGCTTATTTATTTATTAAATTGCCATGTCGCTCATCTCCCCTTCGATGTGACTCTGATAAAAGCCTCCGGTGTCTTGGTCAAGAAGCCATCCATAAATTTAAAAGCAAATTGAACTGTATGCATCTTCAAACTAAGAGTTTTGTAAAAGCTTTTTTTTTTAAAAAAAAAAAAAACAATAAGCAGATCTTTCTGCTGAACAGGCAAGCCACTCATCAATTTAAAATAGGCTGGGCTTTATCAGCAAGATGTTTCTAAACTGGTTTTAGCGCAGCAATTTATCCAGCTGAAGGCTGAGCTGATTTTCCATCTAGAACCGGTTTGGCTGATCAACGGAAGCCGCAAGAAACTCTTGTCAATATACCGGTATTTGCAGACCTGCAGCTTGCACAGAAACGATGGGTCAGGGATTCACTATTGTTGCAAGGTAGCTGCGGTGAGCAGATTCGAATTGCCATCAGCCGTTCCATCAAATATTTTGATTTTAATTACCGTCATCAAGCCACCAACAAGATCATTTGTGTGGGGGTCTTCATCTTTTGTGCCAAGCTGTGGAGAATACAACTCAGTAGTCCTCAAGATCTCCAGGACTCTATCCAACGCTTCGGCCACTGGCATGGGACTGCTTTCTTGAGCAGCGTTGATAATATTTATTACCTAAACAGGGAAAAGAAAAGAAATAACCCTATATTTACCTAGAAGGAATACATTTTCCCTGAAATCATTTATCTTTCAAAAGAATGGGTCTTCTAAATTTGCTGAGTATCATTCATTCATTCCTTCCTTCCTTCATTCATTCATTCATATCCAGCTTTTACTATTTTTACAAATAACTCAAGACAGCAAAGATATCCAGTAGGTCTGAGAGCAACACCAGGCAAAGACATGGGAGTTTTGCAGCAGGAGAAAGCAAAGTTTCCAACAGACTGAAGTGACCTCACACGGGGAGTGCCTTACCTTGGTTATCGGTGCCTCGATTGTCATGGAATGTATGCGGGCCATGGACGAGTGCCTCCTCTGAGAACTTCCTATGCGAGGAAAAAAATGAAGGGGCCCATGAGTTGGTGGCATCAGCTTCCCCAAACTGTTGCTGTTCTTACTGAATATTAGAGTTTTCTGCTCACTAAAATATTTTACATTGCAATGTAAAGCCAGCAAGCATCCTATCCAGGGGCGAAGAATCAGGATCAGGTGATAGCTTCTAGTTAAACTGATTTATTGCTCATGCCTAGACCGAAGAAATTAGGCAACTAATGGTCAGCATTGGATGTTTTGCTTTGACAACAGTTGGAGATGCAACTATTTTCTTCTTATGTTTTACTTTTGGACTTAGAGTAAGATGATGCTGGGGGGGGGGAATGTGCATGAGAGTTTAGCTAGACATAACAATACTGGACCTAGTGTGTGAACCAAGGTTATTGAAATAAGAGATGATAAGAATTGGCGGGCTGGAGAACTGAAGGGAAAGGCTGCATTTCAAACTAATTGGAGAATGTGATTTATGACTGTTAATTGGAGGAGGGAATTGTGCTTTGATACTATGTGCTCAGGGGAAGGGAATTCAATTTTTGGCTTTGACTGTGTTAGTGCCGACACTATGCTTCGCAAATAAAGATTCTTTAAGGTAAACAATGCCTCAAAGTTCTTTGAAGAGATTCATCTGTCGCAACCATGACAACTAAATTGGTACTAGATAAGGATCAATGGAATTCAAGATTTAGACTGCTTGTGGGAACGTAATGATTCCAGGCTGATTCCTCCTTTGACTCCACCCCCAGGCTCTGCCTGATCTTGTGCACATCCAACTTTCACCAGCTGAGTCTGACTGCATTATAAAAACACAGCTGGGGTAACAGCATGCAGACACCCAAAGTTTACATCTTTGTCACTGAAAAATATTTTTTCCCCAAATGAAGGCGAGTGTGTGTCATGGATTTCGAAGGAAGCAGGAGACCCAAGGGTACTGATTATTGAGAAGGTCATTAAAAAAGGTAATTTTACAAAAAGAAAAAAGCCCCTAATCATATACCGTCACTGCCTCGAGAGGTAGTGGATCGGACATCGAGAGAGCCTTTTCTCCTGTCTTTGTGTCTGCAGGTCTGGATATCTGTAAAAACAAAGAAGTTAGACCATCGCTACTGTGAGAAAGAACAGCTCTCTTCGGAAGAGGCTGCAATTCGTGGTTGATCATTCCTGAAGCTGGTCCGTTGGCCCCAGATTGCTAATCTTTTAACTTGGTGACTGGAAGTGGTTCTACTTGGTTCTGAAATAAGTCTGCTGCAGGAAGTCGTCAACTTATGACCACTGTTGTTAAGCAAAGTGGTGGTTAAACGAATCACACCTGAATTTACAATCTTTTTTTTTTGACATTGCTGTTAAACAAACCACTGCAGTTGCTAAATGGATCACGTGGTCATTATGAGAATCAAGCTTCCCCCACTGACTTTCTTGTCAGGAATCAGCTGGGAAGATCAAAAATAGCGATCCTATGGCTCTAGAACAGGGGTAGGCAACCTTGGCTCTTTTATGACTCGTGGACTTCAACTCCCAGAATTCCTGAGCCAGCAGGGCTCAGCATGGAAACCTCTCCCTTTCCCCTCAGCATGGCTGGCTCAGGAATTCTGGGAGTTGAAGTCCACGAGTCATCAAAGAGCCAAGGTTGCCTACCCCTGCTCTAGAACAATAAACAACAGGTTGTATACCTGTTGTTTACCGAGCACCCAAATTTTGACTGCACGACTGTAGGGATGTGGTGATAGTTGTAAGTCTGAGGACTGACTGAAAGTCACTGTTTTCAATGCCATTGTGCCTTCAAATAGTCACTGAATGAAAGGTTGTAAATCAAGGACCACCTACATTTTGTTGTTCCTTTTTATCCTGGAATAAACTAGCAGGAACAAAATTTGTACGTTTTTCTTTTCCAAAAAGTAAAGAAATTCCTGACAGTGAGGACAATTAACCAGTGGAAGGAAAGTGTGTGCTCCATCACTGGAGGTTTTTAAGAAGAGGCTGGACAGTCACTTGTCTGAGATGGTATAGGTTCTCCTGCTTGAGCGGGGGGCTGGACTAGAAGACCTCCAAGGTCCCTTCCAGCTCTATTCTCTTCTAAATACAAATCCATCCAGAGGCTCTCTCTCCCTTTTTCCTATAATCACAAAAAATGTCCCACCTCATCCAACTCCTGAACGGACCAATGATTTGCTTTGTTTTTTTTCTCTCTCTTCAGATTCAAAGGGAACAAACCTTACCAAGCCCAACTTTATTCCCCAAAATGGACCAGATTAATGAAATTAGATTTTGCCTGACCTGCTAAGTCCTACCTTACGAATACTAAACACAGTATCTACAGCCTGTCATAGCAGCAGCCAAACAAACATGCCCTTCGCAAGTTCTATTTCTAGCCAGGGTACAATTCAGCTTCTGCCCTTTGATATATTAAATCTAAGTTATTGAAATTTTATCCATGATTATTACAGGGGGAGTAAGCTAAATTGGAGTCCTACCTAATGTACGCAAGGTTTCTTCGATTCCCATCAGTTTTCAAACACAGCTGCCATTATTTGTACTTATTTAGTCTCTCTCCTAGGATAGCATTTTATTGCTGTGCAAATATTATTGCTTTTCTTGAGCAGTTATCATCTCTGCTTCAGTCTCCTTGCTACAATTCCTGCAGCCTGTGCATCGAAAGCTTGAGTTCTCAAACCACGGCTGTGCTAACACAATTTGCCGGGCCCAAACAAATACATTACTTTACACATTAATGCAAAAGTAAGCTTAGTTCAGCCAACAAGCTAAAATTCCCGCAACCACAGAATCCTGCACAATTGGGAGTAATTTGTGTTAAGGTTTTCACTGTTAATATCTCTAATTTGGCTCTTCCAAAATATGCCTAGAAAACACCCATTTTTTTTTAAGAGAGAAAAAACCCACATTGAGTCGATTAAGAGAGAATAACAAAGCAATTATGGAAATGCAACCAATGTTGTGAAGTTGCAACATTATACCTGTCTGGGACTCGGCTTGTACTCGTTCGCAGATTTTTTCCGCCTATGAACGAATCAGAGCAAAAAAATACAATTAATCCAAGTTGTAAGAATCACCCCGGAGTTACAATTTTTTTTTTTTTAATTGTAAGGCACCAACAGTTGTTGAGGAGTTGAGTAGCCTTGAAACTGAGTTAATTAAATAAATAAATCCATTATGTTTTATTATTATTCCTATTTAAGATTTAATCTTCAATTTGATTCACAGTCTGGGACTGGTAAAAACTTAACAGTTCAAGTCCTAATCAAGGACCTAGCATTTAGGTATATAGGCAGTTCTGAGTAGGGTGTTGTGGTTTTTTTTGCAAAGTCAGGATATTCTGGTTTAATAAGTTCAAAATTTCCATGTATCTAGGGAGCCCTTTTGGTATCGGGCTTCTATTACAGGGATGTCAAACTCGCAACGTCATGTGACATATCGTAACTTTTTTTCCATTGTCGGCAATGAGGTGGGCGTGGTTTCACCATGATGCATCTGGCGTGTGGGCTGGCAGTTTAACACCCCTGTTCTATTACTATGATTTCTTCCTCCATAGTTACTCAACTTCAATTTGCAAATCACAATTTTTTGTTATTTTTTTTTCTGTTTCTCTTCAATTCGTGCATCACCTGGCATTGGAATAATAATGAACCAGACTTTTTTCTATTTTTCTATTATTATTATTATTATTATTATCATCATCATCATCAACATCAACATCATTACCATCCCTTACCTTATTGTTGTCATTGCACGGTCTACTAAGTGACACATAGTGTCTTATTTTTCTGCAAGAATGAAACAAAAGAATGGAATGAGAACAATTTTGGTCTCCAACTTGTCAATGACTCCAGTGGTCATTTGCTGACAGTTAAACCTTGACGGCACAACAACAAGACTTACCCTCCCTGTCCAATGACAGGTATGATCTTCACATTTTGTTGTATGCTCTCGCCATTTTTCTTTTTGGTACAGTAAGTTCCTTGCCATTCCTGTAGACAGAGAAAGAGGAATGTTCTACCTTAAAAGACGACCCGTCCTCAAAGCAGATCTCTGACATGTTGGCTTGCACTGATCTTGGATGCTTGCATAAAGGAAAGCACTGCTTTGTGATGGTTAGCAAACTAACTCTACCCTTTCCTCCTACTGCACTTCTGTTTGACTTTTTCTGTTGCTTGGCTCAGATGTTTCCCCTCTTGTCTGTTACCCATTTGGCATCTAACTGGAACCTTCTGTCGTATATATTACAGCTAATTACCCCTGAAGGCCACTGGCATTGAATTAGAATTCTCATGAGATTTTGAGCTAGAATTCTCATGAGATTTTGAGCGAGGAGGTTGAAATTTTGGGAGCTATTAACACCTGCATGCTGGATGCTTTTCAATGCTTTTTTAGTTCTGAAAAAAAATGGAATGTATTTGCTTGATCCAAATAAAGCTCCCCCCAATAATTTGTAGGGTTGAAATGAGGGGTCTTTGGTGCTCTCTGAGCTTGTTTTCTTGCAGGCGTTTCATTACCCAAAGTAGTAGGTAACGTCATCAATGCTAGACAGTAGAGGAGGAGGAGGAGGAGGAAGAGGAGGAGAAGAGTTGTGGGGTCCTTGGTGCTCTCCGAGCTTGGTTGTTTTCTTGCAGATGTTTCATTACCCATACTATATATCTATAGACTAGCACTGAGGATGTTAACTACTTGGGTAATGAAATGTCCGCAAGAAAACAACCAAACTCAGAGAGCACCAAGGACTTCCTCCATGCTCTTCCCTTCCCTTCCCACTTCCATACCATCACTTGTAGTAATGGACTGAAACTTCAAGTAGGGGATGGCCCCAAAAGACCCATAGCTATGCTTCCCAACAGAGTCCCAAACTACAGCCCATAACATTGATATATTGTAGACCAAACCCCAAACAAGCAACCTAAAAACAAAGAGGAAATATAAATAAATTCTCAGTGAAAGGCTTCTGTCTTACAAAGATATATTTTATCACCTCCAAATTAGAAGAGGCTAGAAATAGGACACTGGCAGTTCTAGACCCACCTTTGGTCTAAACCCAGCTGGGTGACCTTGGGCCAGTCACTTTCTCTCAGCCCTAGGAAAGAGACAATAGCAAACCACTCTGAATAACCATGCCTACCTTTTCAAACTTGATGCAAGAATTTATAGTGTCAAGGAAATCTGCTTTTTTTTCATTTGTAGGCACTTCTGTTAGTTCCTTTCCTACTAATTCGCCTTTCTGATAGCCCATTACCGCTTCAAAGGCAGGATTTACATACTGTGAAACAGTAAGAAAGAAGAAACAAATGTAAGTGAGAATTTAAGAATTTAATTTAATTCAACCTGAGCACTGATCCAGTATTGAGCCTGGATGCAACATTTTCTAAACCGTCTGGAACTGTTTTCACTAAAACAGATCCTGACACGGATCTAAGGGCAGAGGCTGTCATATTACAGGGAACTCTTTTAGATTAAAGGCTAAAGGCTAAAAGATAGTGATGGAATTGTAGTGCTTAAATAAATAATTAAATGAAGTATTTAGTGAAAAGGTAATCTCCACCTCTTCAGTGGGACTGCGTAACACAACAATTTCTTTAAAAATCTATTGGCTTCATTTACACATGCTATAAACTCTGGCAAGTTTCTCTCTCTCTCTCTCTCTCTCTCTCTCTCTCTCTCTCTCTCCCTCCTCTCCCTCCCTCCCTCCCTCTATCTCTCTCTCTCTCTCTCTCTCTCTCTCTCTCTCTCTCTCTCTCTCTCTCTCTCTCTCTCCCCTCTCTCTCTCTCTCTCTCTCCTCTCTCTCTCCCTCTCTCTCTCTCTCTCTCTCTCCCTCTCTCTCTCTCTCTCTCTCTCTCTCCCTCCCTCCCCCTCCCCTCTCTCTCTCTCTCTCTCCTCCCTCCCTCCCTCTCTCTCTCTCCCTCCCTCCTCCTCTCCCCCTCCCTCTCTCTCTCTCTCTCTCTCTCTCTATCTCCCTCCTCCCTCCCTCTCTCTCTCTCTCTCGCTCTCTCCCTCCCCTCCCTCCCTCCCTCTCTCTCTCTCCCTCTCTCTCCTCTCTCTCTCTCTCTCTCTCTCTCTCTCTCTCTCTCTCTCGCTCTCTCTCTCTCTCTCTCTGTAACTTGTTTGTTTGAATCAAATGTTGCATGAATCCAGCCTGTTTGGTTGGGTTACGGTTCAAGATATTGTAGAATCCCTGAAAATGAATGAGTTGATCAACCAGAGAATCAAACCAGAGTCCAATAAAGCTTATTCCCCAGTATATGATTTTTTTTTCCCCAGCGGAGTCCATGGGTCAGATTATCCACAGAACATCATAAATGCCAGAACGGGTGGACTTCAATTGCCAGAATTCCTCAGCCTGCATGCTAGCTGGGGAATTCTGGGAATTGAAGTCCATCCGTCTTAAAATCATCAAGGTTGAGAAAGAATGCAATAAGGTGCTGGTGAGAGAACTGAAGAATTAATTCAAGATGGGTTATGGGATAGTGGACTCCACCAGTGGTTACATAAAGACATTGAGGATCAAAACTTAGCCTGCCTTCTCTTTCTAGCAGTCTTTAAAAAATCAAGCTTTTCTCTTCTAAAAACTGTGCCGCATAACTTCAGGTCTGCTAGACCAAACTGGTCAAAACTGGTTTCAATTGTGAACCAACTGGTCTTGCTACCTTCCAATTCCACACAATCTCAGTGGCCCCCTGGATGTGGCAGAATTGTACTCACTAGTTATCTCAGACATCACAGCCAGGAATGCACACTGGGAGATACAGTTTAGTCTCATCAAGAAAGTAAAACGAAAGCCTTTTGCATGCCCGTTGTTGGCAGCATTAGCCAACATTTGTTTGGGGGATGCTTCGAACTGAATTGCACTCTAATTCTGCTAAAAACATCCCATTTCTTCCACCCAAAAAGAGATGCATAAAAGACACAAGGATCTTATTTTTCAGACCTGCTAAACTTCCTTCTCCCCTTGAAATGCGTACACCTGGCTTTCCAGACAAGCAAGATAAATATCACTAAGGTTCTTAATGACTTTGGGCTAAATGCAAACTGTCATAAACTCCTGGAGCTTTGTGAAGATACAGTCTACAAAAAATAAACGCTTATCTAAAACAAAAGGTTCTGTCCTTAAAATGGATTTTTCCTCTCCATGGAAAGGTCAGAAAAATATGCACAGCCTTAAGGACAGTTTCTAAGGTAATTCAATGCCCACAGGCTTAAATGTTTTAAGTCCGTGCATGCCCGTCTGTGCACATGGAGCGGCCAAAAGAATAAAATCATACAAAACCACAGGACACTATCTGACACTCCTAAAAAAACTAAACAAACAGAGCCTACCTGTATTACGTGGTCTTCGCTTGTAATCTCAGTGGCTTCTTGACTTTTATCTAATGCTGTAAATATTGAATTGCAAGCCCTGAAATGCAAACGAGTGGAAAAAGAAGCAGAGGCAATTAGAATTAAATCACACCACTTTTCAAGATCCAGAAAGAAAAGAATGGCCTAGAACTGAAGAAGTCATAAACAAAAAGAGAATAAACAATGGGAAGGTGCCATGAAATCTTGCAGGCTGAAGAAGGCTGGACAGTCAACCATGGGAGATGTTTTAATTCGGTTTCCTGAGCTCAGCAGGGGGATCCAATTTGAAAGCTAAACAGCTGTTTTCAATTCTACCGTAGGATTCGGTCTTTCCAAGTGGAACCTTCCAGTCATTCCATTACTTCCAACCCCTTTTTAATCCCTCACTAAATGGCTAATGCAACTCCATATCCAATGGGCACAATCCTTCCTCCCAGACTTTTTGCCTTCCAGGTTTCCTTCTGCTCCTGAAGAATGTTTGAATTCGTTGGATGTTTGGAAGCCTTGAGGAGGATGTGGAAACTTCCTTCCTTTATTTATTTCAGTAATTTGCATGCCACCTGTTGGTGAGAGCCTAGCTTGGAATATATTTATTAAACAAATTTATATGGCCGCCCAACTCACACGTTAATGTCATAGGCATGCCTGAAACCCATTAGGTTATGTAGCTCTGGCTTATACAATAATTACAGATTATACACCACACATAAATCTCCATAAATCAGATTGCTATATACTTTGTATATAGCATTATACATGTGGTGGCACAGTGGTTAGAATGCAGTACTGCAGGCTACTTCTGGCTGACTGCCGGCTGCCTGCAGTTTGGCTGTTCGATTTTCACCGGTTCAAGGCTGATTCAGCCTTCCATCCTTCCGAGGTCGGTAAAATGAGGAACCAAATTGTTGGGGGCAAATATATCGACTCTGTAAACAGCTCAGAAAGGGCTGTAAAAGCACTGTGAAGCCGTATATAAGTCTAACTGCTATTGTATTAAGAGCTGTGGTGGGGAGTGGCTAGAATGCAGCACTGCAGGTTGACTCTGCCCACTGCCAGGAGTTTGATCCTGACCAGCTCAAGGTTGACTCAGCTTCCCATCTTTCCGAGGTCAGTAAAATGAGGACTCAGGTTGTTGGGGGCAACAGGCTGACTCTGCAAACCGCTTGGAGAGGGCTGTAAAGCACTACAAAGCTGTATATAAGTCTAAGGGTTACTGCTATTATACCTATTTAATAATCTGATTTTCTCCACCCCAACCCATAATCAGGGACAGACCATGGAGAATAAATGGTCTGCTTTCTCTGGCCATCCCAGGCCAGTCCCTCGATACACTACTGTAGACTTGAAAAAGGTAAATGTTTCCCTGTCCAGTTGTGTCTGACTTCAGGGCTCAGGGCTCCTCTCTGTTTTTTGGCCAAAAGACCCAGAGTTGTCCGAAGATATTTTCCGTGGTCATGTGGCCAACATGACTATATCCAAAGGCTCATGGAACGCTGTTACCTTCCCACCAAAGTGGTACCTATTTATCTACTCACATTTGCGTGTTTTCAAACTGCTAGGCTGGCAAGGAACGGGACTCACCCCGTCGCACAGTGCTCGGGTCTCAAACCCAGGCTCCAAGCTCAGCATCTTTAACCGCTGAGCCATTGCACCCTTACTGTAGACTTTAGCCGGGATCAAATCCCAACCACTTCCTGTGTGGGTGAGGACAGGCGTTTCCTGCGCCAAGAATATGAACGATTAGATAGGCAGCATTACCTTAGTTTAAATTGTGCCTGTACTTCTCCAAATTCCAACTGTATGAGTTCATTGTAACAAGCCATGATGTTCGAGTTTTCAACGTATCTCTGGTTGTGAAGAAAAATAAACGTCAAGATCAAAAGAGCCGCTGTATTCCACTCATATATTAATAAAACCTTGACTAGACAAAAAAAGGAGTTTTTCTTATTATTAAAGAAGCATTTATGAGTTATGAGCAACTCTTCCTCGTTGCTGTATGGAATGTTCCAGAAGATAGACATCCTTTTAATAAGCAGAGGTAGGGATTTTTATTATTATTTTGGGTTTCTTAAGCAAACAAACCCGAGCCGAGGTGGCGCAGCAGTTAGAGTGCAGTACTGCAGGCCACTTTAGCTGACTGTATTCAGCAGGTCAGCGGTTCAAATCTCACCGGCTCAAGGTTGACTCAGTCTTCCATCCTTCCGGGGTAGGTAAAATGAGGACCCAGATTGTTGGGGGCAATGTAAATATATATATATACATTGCTTACTGGTGTAAACCGCTTAGAGAGTGCTTGCACTTAAAGCGGTATATAAGTCTAATAAATAAATAAATAAATAAATTTCATCCTCCTAAAATAGATCAGTACTAGGAATCCTTGACACAGGACTGATCCTTAGCCATCATTCAAAGTTACAATGACCCTCCCCAGGGGTATCGATGGATGTTCTCAATCCTCCAGGTTCACAATTATCCCAAAGGTGCTTTTTCAACAGCATCTTTCTTGGTTTCTTTCTTTGAAAATATTTTCTTTCTCATCCAAGAAGCTTCTGAAGAACGGAAGAAGCTTTTTGGATGAGAAGTGAAATTTCTCAAAGAAAAATCCAGCCCCAGAAGTGCCTTTTGGAAATGCACCTCTGGGGCTGGCTGGCTGGCTGGCTGATAAATTTCTCTCTTCTTGAAGGAGACAAACATTTTAGTCAACAGCCTTACTGATAAGTCTCTGCCCCTGACCTGCTTGTGATGGGATCAGAAAAAGCCATGCGTGAAGTCAATCCAACAATAGTTGACTCCGATCAACAAAATGGTAGAGCCAACAATCTCATCATACCCTTTTATACTGACACCATTTATGCCGAACTCTATGATACGTGCCTTTTCATGAGATCTGAGGACCTGCCTTCAAAAGTAATGAAAAGATTTAACCAGGGCCTCTTCAAAAATCACCATTTCATCTGTTTGGATGCAGAAAATTAGACCATCACAGATCCCTTCTAAATAATCCCTTGGGTTATACTTGGTGGTGCTAAGAGTTCATCCATTCTTACTAGTAGGTGTCTTAACTGGCCACCGAAATCCTGATTTTTTCAGCCAAAGAATCAGGCCAGTGTGAACACAGCATAAAAGTCATATGATTCTGTGCCAGCGCCCTTGCAATTAGATGGCAATGGTTTTGACGTGAGTAGCTAATCTAGATCATTCATTCTGATTGACCAATCCCATGCTTACATATTAACGTATATTTCCTAAATACATGATTTGTGCACCCTGTTGTCAAATGCCAGGAAAAAATCATGAGATCCAGACAGTTCAAATGGATATAAAGATTTATTACCAGCTTAAGCTCTCTACGAGAATCTGAACTACTAATGGCCAAGGGAAATTAGCGGGAGATAAGAGTAGAAGGAATTCAAGGTGGGCTGGATTTAGATCACTTGTGGGTGCAAGTGACTCATGACTGATGATGTATTTGACCCCTCCCTCGGGCTCAGCCTACATCTGTCTCCCATTCCCTTCCCCCTTACTCTTTCAGCCTCTCATCTATCGTCAATAGCTTTCGTGTGATCTATGTTCTATGAAAATCTATCTGCATGGTCAATCACAGCTGGCAATAACTTGATGACATGTCATCAACCAATTAGGATGGTTATCCTCCCCCACCCCATTTCCCCCCCCCCCCCGTTAGATTTCTCCTAGAGTAGACAAATATAAAACTAAGCAATCTGCCCCTAAATGGTTAGGGCTGTTCCTATTGTAACCTAAACATGCTGTCAGTAATCTTTGAGCTTATGTTCAAAAAATGGAGAAATATTTTTCTGCCAGGCTTTGGCAAAAGCAATCTGAGATTGCCAGCATGCACATGTAATTCAGGCGTTCAGGCAATACAGTATGTTTGTGTGTGTGTGTGTGTGTGTATGTGTGTGTCTATACAATATAGATAGGAAAAGATGACTATAAATAAATTGACATACCCTTGTGAAGCCTGCAGAAAGAAAAGGCAATAAGGACGACTCTTCGCGATCTGCATGTCTGGTGGAAGGAAAAGGAAGAACAGAAAGATGTTTGAAGATTTTATTTACCCGGTTAATCCTAGAAATATTATTATCCTCAGACAAGAGGCTGTATCTCAGATCAGTAATAAATAAACAGAAGTCCTTCAAACTTGAAAATTCAGTGGCTTTTGAAAGGCTGCAGAACTACAGAAGAGAACAGAGAATTCTTTTCTTTTCAACGGGGATAAGTTCTTTTTCTCCTCCGTCTATACCTTCCCATGGATTCTGTTCACTTCTTCTGGTTTGCTCTCCTTTGCAGGCTGTTGTTATGGTTAGCACTGGTTTGCAAAATCAAATACTCCAATGCCATCCTTCTCTAAATGGTCTCTTTCACTGCACCGGCCTTTTAAATTCATAACTCCTCTAGCCTCTCCTCCTTAAATCACAGCTATGAGACAGCAACAGTTCCATGGTTTTTTATTTAAAAAAAAAATAAAGATCACACCCAAACAGTATTAAAGCAAAGGTCAGGAGCGCGAGTGGAGAAGACAGGAGAAAATGTTAAACACTTTCCCAGCCACTAGTTTTTACTCCCTAAATTCAGATATTTTTTTTTCTCCCAGCCAGGATTTGAACTTGGAAACGCACTTGGCTGCTGAAGAACTTTTAGCTTGGCAGCAAACGCTCCATGTTTCGCAAGAACTGCAGATTTTTCATAAAGCCCCAGCTTTTGCTGGACTGATTTAGAGGGCGCATATTCAAATATAAATACAGATGCTAAGTCACCACAATCAACATGAGCAATGCCACAGATCCCTATTTATGAAAACAAGATCACTGTGAATTATCCCCAGCTGGAGCAAACGGGATGGGTTTGATGGAAAATTGTACCATTGGCTGGCAAGGCCACAGCCCTCGGCCTTGAGAATGGAGGGAGGAAGGTTAGGATAAGAGAGGCAATTGCGGAGTTAATGGGGAACAGAATACAAGAACAATTGAGAGGGGATAGCTTTATTTACCCATCTGCATGGGCACCAAATATGAATAGAGTAGAGTAGAGTAGAGTAGAGTAGAGTAGAGTAGAGTAGAATAGAATAGAATAAAATAGAATATAGAATGGAATGGAATGGAATGGAATAATAGAATAGAATAGAATAGAATAGAATAGAATAGAATAGAACAGAACAGAACAGAACAGAACAGAACAGAATAGAATAGAATAGAATAGAATAGAATAGAATAGAAAATAGAATAGAAAATAGAACAGAAAATAGAATAGAATAGAAAATAGAATAGAATAGAATAGAAAATAATATAGAATAGAAGAATAGAATAGAAGAATAGAATAGAATAGAATAGAATGGAATGGAATGGAATGGAATGGAATGGAATGGAATGGAATGGAATGGAATAGAATAGAATAGAATAGAATAGAATAGAATAGAATAGAATAGAATAGAATAGAATAGAATAGAATAGAATAGACCTTGGAGGTCTTCTAGTCCAGCCCCCCGCTTAAGCAGAAGAACCTACACCATCTGAGACAAGTGATTGTCTTGTCTCTTCTTAAAGATCTCCAGTGATGGGGCGCCCACGATCTCTGGAGGCAAGCTGTTCCACTGGCTGATTGTCCTCACTGTCAGGAAGCTTCTCCTTAAATCCAGGTTGCTTCTCTCCTTGATCAGTTTCCAACCATTCTTTCTTATTTTAAGAGACTAGAGGTACAGTGTATATCTTCTTCATGGATCGTTGCCTTGTTGTGGCAAAGAGGCTTGTGCAGCTCAAAGAAACTATGAGCTAAGCCGTTCAGGGCCACCCAAGACAGACAGGTCATAGTCTGACAAAACATGGTTCATTGGAGAAGGACATGGCAACCCATTCCAGTATCCTTGCCAAGAAAACCCCATGGACAGTACTGAAAGATTTAATGCCAGAAGATGAGCCCTGAGGTTGGAAGGTGTCCAAGATCAATAAAGGTGTCCAATGTGTTACTGGGGAAGATTGGAGGACAGTGTGCCATGGACCATGGGCTGCAAATAGTCGGACAAAAGTTAGCAACTAAACAACAATGAGATACATAGTCCATAAATATGATGCAATCTCCAGCTAGAGTGAGGGAAGGAGTAAAGACTGGTGAGCTTGGAGTCCTTGCAGAAAGGAAGGCATGGAGACCGGAGCATCCCTTCTTTGCCTGACAATTCCTGAATTCTTTACCTGGCTGTTCTCAAGAGAATGTAATCAGTCTGATGAGATTCTTGTAAATAGGCAGGCAGCAATAAAGAAGCAACTCTGATCAGCTCAAGGTGTCTTTCTGGTTCTTTGTGCCTGACAATCATCCCCAGCACCTTATAGTAGGTGGGGAAAACCACTGTCCTCTTCCCCCAACTCTCATATTTTAGCAGGCACTCAATTCAGAAGACACGGATCTTCTTTCATCACGTTTGGCTCCACCCACAGCTGCACATCCATTCTTGAATGATCTTCGGTCACTCTATTTTTGTCTTCTCTGCCTACCAGCCCCATTCCTAAAATTCAAAAGGCCAGGCTGCACAGCTACATAGTCAGCTAAATGTCAGTAAAAATCAGAGAGAACGGGTCTTGATTTCCAATTACAGGCTTCCGAGCCTGCCTTTTTGCATTTGTATATATTTTGATAGGAGGCTGCAACAATTTTTCTCACTTACCTCCGCACGACCCCAATAATAACAGTGTTTTCAGATGGTTTTGTTGTTCTAATGGACCTTTAAAAAAAAGTGAAGGTAGAGAAATTGACGTGGGTTCCACAATGTGCTTGAAATCAACACAAGAATATTTCACTGAGGTTCATACATGTCTAAATCAGAAGGAAAAAACCCAACTCCTAACCATTAAGAAAGGCCAAGAAACTGTTTAGAACTAGTATGATGTAGTCATGAAAGTGCTGAACTAGGAGTGGGAAGACCCAAGTTCTAGTCCATCCTTAAACCCAAAGGTTTTCTGGGTGACTGACCCAGTTGCGCTCTCAGCCCAACCTAACTTAAGGTTGAGCTGTTGGGAAAACTGGAGAAAGGAGAACATAGACCAGAGGTCTTCAAACTTGGCCCTTTTATGACTTGTGGACTTCAGCTTCCAGAATTCCTCAGCCAGCGTGCCTGATTGAGGAATTCTGGGAGTTGAAGTCCACAAGTCATAAAAGGGCCAAGTTTGAAGACCCCTGACATAGACTCATAGGCCTTCCAGTCCAATGCCATGCTCAAGGCAGGAGACCTTATATCATCCCGGTCAAATGATTGTCCAGTCTATTTCTGAAAATTTCCAGTGATGGAACACCCACAACTCCGGGAGGGAAGTTGTTCCACTGATTAATTGTTCTTACTGGAGCATGATCTCCTGAATGAAAGTCAGATTATAAAGTGAACGCATCAAACACTTCCAATGTTATTTGGAATGTAAACACATCTGAAACGCTGAGGGAAAGTGAAGGATTGAACCTGTCACAAAATGATCTCCACACCAAGAGTGGCCAGATGTCAAACATCAAACACCTCCAGGATATCATGACCTTGTCCACAAGGTTGATTAGTAAATCCCATATTACAAAAGGCGATTGCAAAAAAGAACTCACCTGCATAGCGTTTCTGCATCAAAGTATCTCGAATGCCTGTGATCAATAATGATGATTTCATGGTGTTTATCCAAAAAACACTCAAGGGCAGATTCAGGTGTCCTGGCAATGCTGCAGCGGAAGCCTGCTTTTTCACAGGCCCAGCAGAAGCCATTGCTCTGGTTGTCTTCTTTGGCAAACACTAAGAGTACCTAATTAAAGGCAAACAAAACAGAGAGAGAGATGGAGAAAGACTCTTATCAAAAATCTCAAATCTTTTGCACATAACTTTGGCCCCAGGATTCATGGACCCTAAAGTCCTTATTAAGATGTTTATAAACCTTTCATATCTTTACAATCCATCAAATAGACACAGCAATAAAATGAAATCAAAGTAAAGAAAACTTTTTTTAGAAAATGAAAAGAACAACAATCACAACATATAAATGAGGGAGTCAGTTTGGGGTAGTGGTTTAGGGGCTGGACTAGAAAAAGAAAGACCGTGCATTCTAGACTTGCCTTAGTTACAAAGCTCCTTAGACAACTTTGGGCAAGTCCTTTTCTCTAAATCCAGCTTTAACTTGTTGTTGGGGGGGGGAATAAGTGGAGACAGGACTATGTATGCCATCTATGTATGCCATCTTGAATTCTTGTACATCCATCCATCCATCCGTCCATCCATCCATCCTCAGTAGTGGGATTCAGCCGGTTTGCACCAGTTTGGCAGAACCAGTAGCTAATTTTTTGTTGCCCAGGCCCAGAACGGACTTCCAGAAGCGGCATTCATGCAGAGAACTGGTTGTTCACCTATTTGAATCCCACCACTGGACCAGTTCAATATTCAGCTCAGTCGAATATTCTCCAAGCAATGCTTAGCTTTAGTTCCTTCTTCTAAGCAATTCCAGGCATTCCAACTGTGCTTATATTTGGATTAGAGCTGCTGGAATGTCAATAAATCTCAACATTTACACCTACCTGTAGGCAAACACACACACAGAGAGACACACAGACACTCTGCATGTATTCTGACTGGGTTTGCCTTTTGAATTAAACCTGCCAGAATGACAATCAGTTTCACAATTTATACCTACATATGGCTGATACATATGTGCAATTGCACAAAAGCCCCGGCCCCCCGAATTAACTCGGGATTTCTCTTTATTAGCTCAATGCACAGTGAAATGGGCTGTGACTATCTGTTCTAAAAGGCACATTTTACATGGCTTCGTTCCATTCCTTTTTACCATAGGATGATAGGGAAACATTTCAGCTGGAAATGCTATGGAAGTAGCCAGCAATAAATGCACAGACATTTCTTCATTTAGGTAACCAAGTCCTGGACAAGCCAAGAGATGCATCTTTAACAGAGGCTTACCTGAAGTTGTTCTCGGTGAAGCCTCATGGGGCCAAATTGCACATCGGTTCCCGCTGCCTGGGAAGAAGAACAGGACAAATTTAAATGATATTGTGGGAGAAGAGCAGGCTGAACTGGAGGGTGTGGTTAAATGTGTCATCAGTTTGGAATCTTTGCATTCCTGCACGAGACCCGAGGTCAGCTCCCTGTGAATTTCCATCAAGCCTTATCCAGAGCCTATTTAATTTTGACCATTAGTTGACCAGATTCTTCTGTACAGGTAACAATGATAAACTCTTTTCTGCTTTGAACTCAACAAAAGCTTCTGGTTATTTGGGCCAAACAGATGTGCTGCATCTGGGCAAGGAAACACAGACTTCACTTCCTGGCTTCATCCTAACTCAGAAACACCAACTGTCCATTTCAACACCGCTTGGAATTTGCAATCAGTTACGACAACTCTAAAAATTTAGAGTAAATGAATCAGTTCATTCCAAAGCTTTTCAGATGGCCATTTCTTAAGCGGACTAAACTAACAATCACAATTAATCATGAAACTTGCTAAACCTGTTACCTGTTTGGGTAAGAAAGAAAGAGGTTCTTTCCAACCAGCCGGACACAAAAAAAAAGAAAGAAAGAATAAAAAAATAGCAAGAAGTTTCATGGTTTCTTTCTAGGCTCTTAGCTTTTTCTTTGATATCTTTTTTTTCCTTTCCTTTCCTTACTTTAAATTAGCCCTTGTTAGTTTTTAGTTTCCTTTTTAAATGTTTTATTCCAAAGTATGTATGTATGTATGTATGTATGTATGTATGTATGTATGTATGTGTATATATATATGTAGGTCTTTGGTTATTCGGGTTTTCTCCCACGTAAAATTGGAAGTGTCTTGGCGATGTTTCGACGAAATCTCATTCGTCATCTTCAGGCTGGTGTCTTCGGCTTCGTGCTTCTAGGAGTAATGTGTGATCATAGCTGTTTCTTCCTTTTAACTGCCAGTGGGGGTATGAACTGATTGGGTGAGAGCTTCTATCTATCTATCTATCTATCTATCTATCTATCTATCTATCTATCTATCTATCTATCTATTATCTATCTAATTTATTGGCTGCCCATCTTACCACATGGTAACTTTATCATATATATATATATATATATATATATATATATATATATATATATATATATATATATATAATAAAATATAAAAATGAACACTAGGGTAATAAAAACTAAAGAAGTTTTTAATGGGTTAAAACTATAAAAGTTTTAAAAAGCGCCAAGCTTTCACCGTCACCTGCCGGCATCCTCAGGGCTGGCGTGCCAGAGAATGAGAAGGTCTTTTTATAGGCGTGCCGAGGTTTGCACTCGGCTCCTTGATCTTGTTATGGGGCCTGATTGGTTCAGCCGTGTGTAGTTGGCCTGCGCTTTTTTTCTCTTCTTAGTTGTATTTTTATCCTCGTCCGTCTCCAGTTCTCCCAACCTCAGATTAGCTGAATGGCAATTCCAGTTATTTCGGTTGCTTTCATGTTCCGATCTCCCCTCAGGCTTGGGTGGTGGTGGACGTTCCAAGTTCCTTTCTCCGCCCCGTTCTGTCCGGTTGCTACTTTTAGAGTCCCATATATTTCCGGTCTCAATGCTTTCGGTTTTAATATGTTTATCATCCTGGTAATCCCGTAAATTGTTACGAGTCTGGTATAGCGTGGGGGGGTATTCCGCATGGTGGAGGGGTCGTCTCTTGTTCGTTGTCATGCCCAGCTGTCTCGCACGTGTCTTACTCCGAGTGCTCAATCCTGGGGGTGTGTGCACAGTCATCGGGGCGCGTCCCTCCTGGTTACCGTGTTCTTCCTTAGTTCTCCCCTTGTTTACCTTGTTGGAAGCGCTCGCGTATGTTCTATGGGAGTCCTCAGGATCGTCAGGTAGGGGGTATGACAGCTCGATCTCTCGCCCCCTGCCGCTCTCCGACAGGAGGAATCACCAAACGCAATGGCCTGCCCACACACCAAAAGAAACATCGCAGCTGGTCGGGAAAGGAGGAGAAAACCTCCCCATGTAGCTGGAACGATCAGCTCCTATGAGGACAAACCACGGGAGGTGGTTGATGATGAACCCCTACATACCGTTGGAGAGGAGGAAGGAAAGTCGGAGAGCGGCAGGGGGCGAGAGATCGAGCTGTCATACCCCCTACCTGACGATCCTGAGGACTCCCATAGAACATACGCGAGCGCTTCCAACAAGGTAAAAAAGGGGAGAACTAAGGAAGAACACGGTAACCAGGAGGGACGCGCCCCGATGACTGTGCACACACCCCCAGGATTGAGCACTCGGAGTAAGACACGTGCGAGACAGCTGGGCATGACAACGAACAAGAGACGACCCCTCCACCATGCGGAATACCCCCCCACGCTATACCAGACTCGTAACAATTTACGGGATTACCAGGATGATAAACATATTAAAACCGAAAGCATTGAGACCGGAAATATATGGGACTCTAAAAGTAGCAACCGGACAGAACGGGGCGGAGAAAGGAACTTGGAACGTCCACCACCACCCAAGCCTGAGGGGAGATCGGAACATGAAAGCAACCGAAATAACTGGAATTGCCATTCAGCTAATCTGAGGTTGGGAGAACTGGAGACGGACGAGGATAAAAATACAACTAAGAAAAGAAAAAAAGCGCAGGCCAACTACACACGGCTGAACCAATCAGGCCCCATAACAAGATCAAGGAGCCGAGTGCAAACCTCGGCACGCCTATAAAAAGACCTTCTCATTCTCTGGCACGCCAGCCCTGAGGATGCCGGCAGGTGACGGCGAAAGCTTGGCGCTTTTTAAAACTTTTATAGTTTTAACCCATTAAAAACTTCTTTAGTTTTTATTACCCTAGTGTTCATTTTTATATTTTATTATGAATATCCCTAGGGTTCACATTTTTAACCTTTTTAAATCGTGAATATATATATATATATATATATATATATATATATATATATATATATATATATATATATATATATATATATATATATATATATATATATATATATAAAACAACCTGACGCAAGCAAAATGGGGAAACAATGCACTTTATTTACATTTGGACAGGCAATGTTGTTATTGTTTTTTCCCTACACTGCTGTTTTGGGTGCATGCAAATATATAACAACAATTTAACAAGGAAACAGTGGGGTGATGTTATGCTTAACAGCTTACAAGGGGCTTACACAATTTAACTCTGGAATGCTACAGAGAAACAGAAATGAGTATTATTTTTTTGGCCTGGCTTCTGAATCTGAAAAGGAAGTGATGGAAGGAGAACACAGAAATAAATGGAGGGATTTCTGTCTGATTTTGGCTGACTCCAAACATTTTGTTGTCCGAAAGAAAATGTAGGATGATAGTTCTACATTTTTCATGCAGAAGTTGAGTGGCTGATCAATACTAACCCCAAGGCGTTGTCCTCTATTACAGTTGAATGGAAGATGCCTAAAGCAGAAATATCCCCAAAAATGTCAATCATGACTGCTTGTTTGAAGGTTCGCCCATCCCTTGTTGGTTGTTTAGTAACTATTCAAAGTGACAACCAGCCCCCCAAAGGGAACTTATGACCTAGATTATGACATGAGCCCTCTACAATCACATGAGACAAAACCATGCCCCTAGAAAACCACTGATTAGCTTAATGATTAGGCTGCATCAAGATCATGTGAAGTGTTGATATCACTTTACAATGCCTTGGTAAGGCCACGCTTGGAATACTGCATCGAGTTACCACAATGTAAAAAAAGATGTTGAGACTCTAGAAAGAGTTCAAAGAAGATCAACGAAGATGATTAGGGGGCTGGAGGCTAAAACATATAAGGAATGGTTGCTGGGATTGGGAATGTCTTGTCTAATGAAGAGAAGGACGAGGGGGGACATGAAAGTAGTCTTCCAATATCTGAAGGGTTGCCACAAAGAAGAGGGAGTCAAGCTATTCTCCAAAGTGCCTGAAGGCAGGACAAGAAGCAACGGATGGAAACTAACCAAAGAGAGAAGCAACCGAGAACTAAAGAGAAACTTCCTGATGGTGAGAACAATTAATCAGTGGAACAACCTGCCTCCAGAAGCTGTGAATGCTCCAACACTGGAAGTTTTTAAGAAGAGACTGGACAGCCATTTGTCTGAAATGGTATAGGGTTTCCTGCCTGAGCAGGGGGTTGGACTAGAAGACCTCCAAGGTCCCTTCCAACTTTATTATTATTATTATTATTATTATTATTATTATTATTAAAGACCACTGCAATAAAAGGTTGTAAAATCAGGTTGGTCACATGATCAATTCATGTTATGACCATTATGACATACGACTATAACAAGCAAGCTCCATTACCGTTGTATGTTGAGGACCACCTGTATTCATTGACAAAGCATCAGCCAAGAGACAGGCTTTTATCATGTAATCAAGGCTCCCATCTTGAATATTTTGACACCCACCCATATACAAAAATGTCCCTTCATTCTGCCCTGTTTTTCTATTTACACCACGACTCGCCACAAATCCTTGAACAGTATTTCTAGGAACAACTTGTAGATTTTGCTTTATCTTTAAACGAAAGGATTTTGATAGCGCAGCAAAGACAGGATTTGAGGCATGTGCATAGGATTTATGCTAAATGGATTCTGATGACTGTGAAAAAGGAATTTTTACAATGTTATCTTTCCCAGTAAAACCTCAGGTTGTGATCAGATTTAATCCTCCAGCTGTCCAAAACTTGAGTAATTATTCCAATGAGTAATTTTAAAGAGTCAGCAGATCATCCCGCAAACCACATAAAAGTCTGAAAATTACACGCTTTCTCCCCAGCTCCATCACTTGGGGCACTATCGACCTTAAGACCCTCAGATGTCTTTTCATTCATTACTTTAGAAATCACCATTTAATTTACATTTTAAACTGAAACCCCAAAGAGGGAGATAGGAGGGAGGATACAGAATACTAGCACTGGAGGGGATCTTGGAGGTCTTCTAGTCCAACCCCCTGTCAAGCAGGAGACCCTATAACATTTCAGACAAGTGGTTGTCCAATCTTCTCTTAA